ATTGAAGCCGCCGAGAAGCGAACTTGCTTTATTGCTTGATTTTAATATAACTGTAATATATCTTTATGACTGCAAATACTTAATAAATATTTGAAGTGTTGTTATTTATGCGTAAGCTTGATAATACAAACTACGCATAAGAGTTTACGCGCAATTTACAGGCAAACCCTTTTAATAACACTGACCATAAATACTTACTATTGTATTTTGTTGTTCAACTCAGGCGGTTATTTATGACATTATTAATTATTGTGTCAGACACTACAAGGGTTGCCAGTTACCGTTTTATGTTTTAAATTTGATAAGATAAAGGACATAGGATGAAATACCGTAATGGTTAAATATTGTTTAAAAAAACCAACTGCGTAATAAATTTACTAATAAGAACTTTATCACAGTTTATTATAGTTTAAGTCCTACTTGGTCATTCAAAATGAAAAATTATTAAAGAAACCTAAAGGTGATTTTAAGACCTATTCAATTGTTTTTTGATTGATAAATAAAGACATAGGATGAAATACCTATGGTATTGTTAAAAACCAACTGCGTAATAAATTTACTAATAAGAACTTTATACAGTTTATTATGTTTTTAATAGTCTAATTGGTCATTCAAAATGAAAAATTATTAAAGAAACCTAAAGGTGATTTTCGAAGACCTATTCAATAATTCCACACTTGTTATAGTTCGTCAACTTTCATATTTTTCTTTGTTGCCATTTTGAATTTTGATTCCTATCTTATCTTTGGTGACACTCATAAGATTAATTAAAATCGATTAACGCAAGGATCATCAAACTCGGGCCACGCGATGACCTCTAGACAAAAGAACAAACATTCATATATACATACATATCTTTTAATGGCATTGGGTGACAAACGAGCACGCAGTCCACCTGATGATAAGTGGATGCTGTAGCCCATAAACACCCACATTTATCCTCAATTAAGAATCAAAATGCAGATGCGCTGTCACCCCTGGGGACTAAGATGGAATACCTCGATTCTTGTAAAAAGGGTCTCTGTTCCTCTACACTCACTATTCTAAAAACAGCAGCATTACGCTGTTGTTTTACGCTGGTATTCTGTGAGAGAGTGGTTCTGCCCCCTATACATAGCTGCAGCGTAGCTCTACCACGTAAAAGTCTGATAAACACATTATCCACCTTTGAATCGTGCAGAAGTGTAGTAAAGTATATCATTTAAAAAAATGCTATTGTGGTAACACATACGTGCGTGGTAACGTACTTTGTCTCTAACATCGCGCGTCACCTCAAAGTAATTTTGAAACTCTTTCACCCCAACTAGCATAGGATATATATATATATATATATATATATATATATATATATATATATATATATATATATATATATATTTATTTATTTAACTTCATATACACATTAGATGTATATAGGCGGACTTAATGCCTGAGGCATTATCTACCAGTCTACCTTAGAGTAGTGCAGAGATAAAAGAGGTAGGTGTAATAAGAAGTATGTACAATATATATATATACATTTATCCTCAATTGTCCTCTATTATACATTTAAAATTAGAGGACAATATCAATTTTTGGCTCTAAAATAGAGGTGTCCTTTGAAATAAAGATCGTCTGGCAACCCTACACTACACTCCTACGTCGAATTTTTAAATGCTTATTCCAGTTTCGTTTAATAACACGCGTCTAAACAAAGCCGCGTATTGACAGCGGGGTGAATTATAATGTAATTATTTATTTGACTGCCTATGATAGCGATCTGGTACAGTAACTTGTATCGCGTGACCTTCTTTTAACAAAAAGGAAGGGTCCGGCAAGTAATAACTAATAACTCATAATATTTAAAATTGAGAGATTACAACATTATATCTTTTCATCTTTATATTGCATTGCCTTTAACTGACTGAGGCGGCCCAAAAGGAGGGTACTTTAATCCTTTAACAATAGAAATAAAGAAATAAATTTATTCCAGTTTAAGCAGCACAACAAGTAAAAAGTAATTAAATGTAAAAAGACATATAAAACTAAATTAAACGTAATTTAACACCATTATAAATTCTTAAGAAAAGACATTTAAGATACCCTCTGCTGCAGCATGAAACTGTGAAACGGACTGGACTCAGTGATAGCACTGGTTTTCAGTCCAGCCCTTACCCAGAGGCAGCTCGGGCGGCTGAGTGCACGCTCGCGCTTGATGTTGGAAAACTACATGATATTGTTTAAATCCCATTATGATTTGCTGCACTTAACAATGTCCTTTTATCCTAAAATTAATAATATTTTGACTAGAATGACTGTTCGTTTCGATGTCCCCTCACCACCAAATTTAACTCCTAGCTAGTCTCCAAATTTTGACAATTAATGATTTTTAGTAATCATTATCTGCACCGTAATATTCAAAGACGGAAGGTAGCCAGACTCATAGTTAGTCTGACTACCTTCAGTTTTTGAATATTTGGGACAAATTGGGACGCCAAACATCTCAGTCCCCTCCGTGACCATGGGTCACGTCACGACATGGCACCCGTCACGTCGGGAATTTTCATTTGAAGGTTTTTTGCTTTATAATAACAATTTTATTTGTCATTAGAAACAATAGCATGAAATGACGGCGTACTGCTGCTCTGTTTGACATGTTCAAGAACTCAAAATTTTGCTCTTTCACCCTCGTATCTAGATAAGAGCCTAAAATTAAATAATGTGTGCACTGCTGTGCACTGCGCCCTATGAATAAATAAATGAGAGCGAAGAGGGTATTTGGTTCTGGTCATTCACCATACAAGAATAGTGTTCTGTACGAGCCACAGTCTCCAAAAATGCTCAACTTCTTGACACACACAAACACATTTCTTTCTTTCCTAAACAGCCCGTATAACTACACTACTGGTGCACACTAAAACACCTAAAACCATGATGTCGGTTGCAAACAAAGAAATTAAAAATACTACTAGACCGGCAATTCAAAACAAAAACTTTGTGTCAGCTAGTGTCGCAAGATGGTCGGGATTCGTCTGGATTTTACCGACATTTCAAATGATCTCCAGACTACCGACAAAATTCAAGATCTCCAGACAAACAGCTTCTCGGAAAGTTAACGTATGGCCTTTGATTTATTAAAAGCGGAATTTTATTAGACTGAACTTTGAAGTAAATTGTTTGATTTTAAATATTTTCTAAAGGATCCAAATTGGTGGACTCTAGTCTAGTCCAATGCCAAATACATTTGGAAACGTAAAAATGGAGTGAACTTATATTAGTTTTGCATAAAGTAATTTTAGTGGCCTCTTAATTAAAACAATAACTTTTTATTTTTAATATTTATTTCTCTCGCCAACAACCACAAAATCCCGACATTTCCAAAATTTTTACCAGATATTTCATGCGGGCGCCCGCTGGACGGGTAACTAACACGTCACGGTAAAGATGCCACGCAGTTATAATTTCATTTACGACAGTAACTGTTTTGAGGCAAATATTTTATAAAACTACTTATCTCAAATAAACATTAAATCGCGTTGAAAAAGTGCGCAAGTAAATAATAGCTGCGTTTTCTTTGTAAAACTAAACAAAATCATTGTTAGGTTTTTTTAAATTAAAAATGGACGCACTCTTGACCTCCATCTGGCCCGATTGCAAAGAAGAAGTGTACGGTGGAGCGAGTTTGCCCAGGAGAAGCCTGTTAACACGCACCCTGAAGAAGTAAAGCTTACTCGAAAAACAGACGCCGGCAGTACATTCCACTCCTTGACTGTGCGCATTATTACAGAGGACCTATAGCGCTTAGTGCGAATATTCGGCATATCGAAAAAGTGTGGATGGTAACGTGGGATTCTAAAATAGGAGAATGTTGATGGCGATATGCGCTTCCGAAGCTCATAGGCACACTTTCTGAAGTACAATCTATAGAAGACCGACAAACAAGCAACTTCGCGACGGTGAGCTAAGCTGCGAAGCTTAATCTCTACCAGCTTTTTGTCACCGATAATCCTCTTGGTTCTGCGTTGCACTACCAACCCAAAAGTGATTACAATACTTCATGCATATTCGGACTTGAGTATTGCATAAAGTTGGAAGCTGTCCAAAAGTGAAGTATCGCTTCACCTTGTTTAGAAAACCGTATGTTGTATATTGTTTAGAATGCCAATATCAAGAACAACGTTCGCCGTTAACAAAACAAAGGACTAGTTTTCTCGATCGCTTGCAGTCGACTAAAGGAGTTGCGGAGAGTTAACCGCAACTTAGTGCGCAATGTTTTGAGCCCGTCTAGTAGTATATAGTTGCCGGCACGAAAGGTGAGCACAGATGAACTATGGTGGGGGTTGAACCAGCGTAGGTACACTGTCGGCCAAAATTATTAGGTACTGTTGTTATTTCAATTCATAATTGAATATTTTCGCTGACTTTTTTTCGAAAATCTGAGTCGTTTACTTTTTTAACTATACGACGTACAGTAGCTACTTAGACATTAGTCGCCTTAGCAGTCTGTTTATAAACGTCTATCATGTTTTTCTCAGTACCTAATTATTTCATGTAACAAAACACTGAATAGACCATTTGTCGGGATTGTTTATTTAACACCGAATTCTTTTTTCTCTGCATATTTAGCCCAAAACCCGAATGTTCAAATCATAACAAAAAAATAATTAACAACAAGAAATATCAAAAACAGTTAAAAACAAGAAATACATAAAAACAATTAACAACGAGGTAACACTACAATTAACAAAAATAAACTAATTAAAAAGTTGTCACTAAAATTGCTCTCAAGTGTACGGTAGTCAAATGATACGTGCGAACCTAATAGACGACGAGAATCGGCTGACGAACCAATCACGTTGAGCGTCAGCGTGGTCAACGTCATATCGAATAATAAAAAGTGTGCTCACGACTCGTGGCGGCAATTATACATAGAAGACTTTTGTTACAAATGATTTTAGATTTCACATGTGTGCGTGACTGCATGATATAAAAGAAAGAATAGTAAAACAGCTTATACTGACCCGACGAATTGGCTGGGCGCTCGGTCGTCGAGCGTGCGGGCGCCTCGCGACCAGTAGCGCGGGCGCGGCGAGCTGTACGACGAACCGTGCGGCGAACTGTGCGGCGAGCGCGGCTCGCCCGCCGCGCCCAGCACCAGCAACGCCACGACTATCCACCGCGCCCTCATTGCGCCTCCATCACCCTGACAACAAATAAAGATAGATCAAAATCGAAGCCATAAATACAATTTATATTTCCGATTGTTGTACTTCATATTTAATTTTGTGATTTTTACTGACACATATACTCTTGTCTCACTAATACTTATTTTACTTCGCACGGTTGATTTCTGGACCTCGACAACAGCGCCACCTACTGAAATATTGCCGTCGCGCTATACTCGATCGACCGAGCTATGCAACCAAGGGAGACGGCTGCACAGCTCTTAGTTATTACAGCTATCGAAAATTCAAGCAATCATCATTCCTAATTTATTTTTTATTTAAAGTATAATTTAAGAAGGATTTTACTATTTTTTTCACTGGATATCTATTAACTGCAGTTTTTAGTTTTTAATATTTTAAATTATAAAAATTTATTGAAAAAAATATAGGCACATGACTGACATCATGAATATAGGTAGTGTCTTTTTCCAGGGGAAAACGGGAATATACTTACTTACTACTTTAATATAATACAGGGATAAACTTAAGTTCAAATATATAAATAATGATGTACCTTTATTACAGTTTTTGAAAATACTAATAAATAAGGCTTCTACTTTTATTTTAAATTCTGTCAAATTAAAATAAGTATTTCTATAGATTAAATGCCGACCGGACTCTTCCATGCCTTATTATTTAACCGACATTGCGATAAAACTTTGGTGCACAACGAATGTCAGTCACAACTAGTATTTTATGAAAATTAAGGTTTATTTCATGCTTTTAAACACTGTGGTGGTTCATTTGGTGCCTTTGTAAGTGGGAGCGATATACAAACCTGTGATTATATCAAAATACTGTGATAATATCAAAGATACAAACACAATGTAAAGTATAAACACACGTCCCTCTGCTTAGAGTAAATGAAGTGGTATGTATGTAACACACCATGACACCGATTTCAGAAAGTATAGATTGTTATTTTAATATTTTCAGCCGGGTTTTAATCTTTTAAAAGTTATTTATAAGTTAATAAAGTCGATTTTAACTTTTAAATGTTTAATTATTTTACCCTTTTGAGTGTTATATCACAATTACAGGCAGCAACCAGAATGTCTTCTAAATGATGAAAGTAAAAACTTCATCCTTATTTACCACACTTAGGTGAAACTTACTACGGGACACTAGTTAAGTCTATAAAGAGTCTTACGCATCCTATCTCGTCCAAATTAACATTCAATTACAGAAAATGAACCCAATTTAATTTTTTTTAATTAAGTAAAATAAAATAAATGTAACTATTTAAATTGATTCAGCCATTTACGAGAAATCGATGAACATAAAAAAATATAATACCGTCGAACATAGAACCTTCTTTTTGTAAACCGATTAAAAAGCTGATTTTTTTGCTGATTAGCACAGCAAATACATTGTATTACTTCACAGAAATAGGGTAGTTAAATTATATTGATGTGATAAATGGTTATAATACTTTAAGTCCTCTAAATTTGGCACTGAACCCACACTGTTGTAATTATCAAAATTGTTTAGAACTGAAGGTCAATGGTCAATGTTGGCATCGTGTTATGTAATAAATAAAGCTAGTATGTAACAGTAGTTAGTTGATTAGTAAAGCTAAATGGACAATTAAACTTTTAATACGGTTTCGTGACACAGTGGCTTGCAGGGCCAAGAGCCGCGGTTTCGAATCCCGCACGGAACAGGTATTTTCGTATGACCTACAAGTAACTGTTATGTATGTGAACTGCCCACGTAATACAGTAGAAACCCCTAGGCCCTAGTGTGTAGGTAACGTTTTTAAAAAAAATTAAAAGCAGACTTTAGAGATTAAAAAAATGTTTTGCAGAAGAGAGCAATAAGAGCAACTTATACTAGATCTAAAGAGTCTTAGAGAAAAATTAAAGAAACAAATATATTAACTTTGGATCTCTCAGTATACATATTTTAGAAAATTTTATGTATGTAAAGGGTTATTTTTCAAAGAGTTGCCAAATTTTAAACTGAATTTCAAATATATAAATAATGATATATCATTATTGGAGTTTTTGAAAATACGATTAAATGGTCTACTTTTATTTAAAATTCTCTCAAATTGAATGTGATTTATGGGCTGCAACGTTTTTGCCTACCGATAGACCTCAATCGATTAAAATAATGCATTACCACGCATTTTCAATTTAAAAGATATAAAGGACAGAATGTTCGACATTTTTTAAATATTTGCCTATATTACTTATTCTGAAACTTCTCTGCAAATTTGGCCGGTTATTGGAAAATAACCCTGTATAAAAAACAAAAATAGTATTATTAAAAATGGTGACGTACATTCTGTAAATACCAAGAACAAGCACAAGTTAGTTACACCGATTACCCGACTTCAAAGGAATATTGACTGTATTCCTTCATGGGGCAATGTTTACGCTTTTGCGGCTTAGTCCCAGAAAATATAATATATGTTTTATCTATCAAAAATCTTTAAATTTTTATAAAGAAAAATTGTTTAAAGGTTAATATTACTACTGCTGAGGAGTACATGATTGGTAAAAGCCCCTAACAATGAGATGATCACTACCATGATGTTTCTTAATGTTTTCCTACTAAATTGCATAAATATTATATAGTAAATTAATGTTTAAAAAATGTGTAAAATCATAAGTGACTTGTACTAAGTATTCTCGTAATCTATATTGTGTAAATAATTATTTCTTTTTATAGTAAGTATAAGGGTGACCAACGAGCACACAGTCCACCTGATGGTAAGTGGATGCTTAGGTCCATAGACATCTGCATTTATCATCAATTAAAAATCAAAATGCAGATGCGTTGCCAGCACTGTGGACTGAGATGGAATGCCTGGTTTACAGTTAAAAGGGTCTTCGGTTCTCCACACTCACCATACGAAACAGCAGCATTAAGTAAGCTGCTATTTTACGTTGGTATTCTGTGAGAGCGTGCTCCTACTACGATTGAGCCGATCCATTCGTACTGCAACCACAATATAGCTGCAGCGTGGCTCTACCACGTATAATAATGTCAAAAAATGTCAGCTTGTACCCATAAGTCCCATTGATGGGCACTGGCCTTCTCTCGTTCCTGGGAGGGTTTAGGACAAGGAGATATCCGCCACGCTGCCCTAATGTTAACGAACTTCACAGGTCTTCAAATTTTATAATTTCATATTAATTTGCGTGATAATTCACGAATTGTGAAACGAAATCAATGATTTCTTTTTCAAATATGCTATACCTAAAGGTTCGAGTAAAAAATAGAAGTAGAAAAATAGGGGTCGAAGTTTTATTTGTAATGTTTGTACTATTCAGACGACATTCCTATCATTATAGTGCTAAGTCTACGCCTAAAGGTTCAAATATAGAAAATTAAAAAAAAAGTAAACACAAACAGAAAACCTTTAAAAATAAATTATAGTGTATCGAAAAATTGAAGCTGTGACTTCAAAGCTTTTAAATTATGAGGTAAGTAATTATTAACATTTCTTTTAGTATTTTAAAGTCTGTTTTACTATTTTTGATTCATTCAGCCTAGTTTTTATAATTTCGCTTGAAAAACGTCACCATCCTTAAATTTTTAATTTAGTCATTATTAGCCAAAAGTTGGCACGCTTGGCAAGCGTGTTGGCAGCAGCTTGCCAAGCGTTTTAGAAACGTGGTAGAGCCACGCTGCATTATGGCTTACTACTGCTGTGTTTCATATGGCGTGTAGAGATCCGGAGACCCTTTTTTACTGGAAACGAGGAATTAAATCTTAGTCCTCAGGGGTGACAACGTATCTGCGTTTTTATTCTTAATCGAAGGTAAATGTAGATGTCTATGAGTCACAGCATCCACTTACCTTTAGGTGGACTGTATGCTCGTTTGTCACCCTTATTCCATAAAAATCCGCAGTTTATTTTTATTTTAGTCAGTTTTAGGAAGACGCTGCATGCCATTCACGGGACGATATTATGGGGTTAGTGGATATACTTACACCGCCACAACATGGGAAACTTGGCTTACAGAACCAATATAAATAGATTTTTATATCTCACAGTCTTATCCAGAACAAAGGAAAAAAAGTCTGCAGTTCATGATTATATTCTAGACGGCCCCAATCATTACATCATATTTGATAGACCACAAATTCTCGCGAAAGAACATCGATTCCTAACAAGGATGATACGTGAGGCTATTGAAATTAGAAAACATCCTAATTTCAATAGAGAAGGAGGCTGGGTACTACCACCTGCTTGGGACCCTATAATTAATAAAATTAAAACTAAATCCAAGCATACCACTGCAAGACTTCAAAACACAGTAAGTTCATTCTGCATAGATCGGACCAAAAAGAATAATTAAAAAGCTGGTACTTCGGGTTAACATGTGACCATAGATGCTGGAACGCTCCCGAAACTTTGGGTATTAAAAATAAAATTTATTAAACGCGATAAAATCCGTAAAAGTAGTTTTAATCAAAGGAAAAAAGTTAATATATAATGTTTTATTACATCACCGATAGCATTGTTGTAAGAAAATAAAACAAAAGATCGCAACACAATAAAGTGAGGAACGGGAGAGTATAAAAGATAGGAGTGGGCGCCGCGCGGGAAGGGGAGGGGGTCAAGGAATCTGTGCCGAAATGATAACGAAGTACGTCGACCCGTTCACACTAGTACTATATACGCACTATCACACAAGCTATATTTAGTAAAAAATTACGTAAAAACAAGTAGATATGTTAAATTTATAGCTTTTAGTGAAGAAACTTTTCTATTTGATTGTTCCTGGCTGGATGTATTTCGCAAGGATCATCAATTTCAATGAATTACTTTGAAGAATCAGCATAGTGCTGCATTGATTTTACTAACCCAAGTAATCAAAACGGTCGAAAAAAGAAGATGTTTGAGTAGAGTAGCAGCGTGCTCTTGTATACAGGTGTTCTGTAAAAATTCCTTAGGTAATAAATTAAAAATTTAAATTAAAAATGTTTATTCCAATTACACAACGTT